CACAGTGGTTAGGGAAAGTCTCACTGTGGAGGTGATATGTGGTATTAAGTATAAACAAAAAGACGTAGCCATAAAAAAAAAAAACTGAAAATGTAAAGAACAAAAACAAGAACACTTCCTACAATGAAAACAAGTTGAACTTCCTTTAGGAGCAGAATGAAAGTCAATAACATTTGACCTGTTCAGCAGAGTATTTGGGACAGTGAGACATCATGAAAATTCTCTTTTTGGAAAACTTTTTTTTTCACTTTGTTTACCTGCCAACTGTCTGGGATTATTCAAATTTCAAGGACAGTTAGTACCTAGCTAGGGGAACTAAATTTCACACTTACAAGGTGTGATGGTTGACCTTCATTGACAGCTTGACTGGATTTAGTTGCCTAAGAAACAGACCTCTCGGTGTGTTTGTGAAGGCATTTCCAGACAGCTTTGACTCGAATAAGAAGAACCACCCTATGAGCTAGAGAGAAGGCTTAGCTGTTAAAGCCTAGATTCACAACCAAATATAAGAGAAGACCTGCCCTAAATGTTGCTGGCTGCCTTCCATGGGTTGGGGTCACAGAATAAATAAAAAAGAGGAAGCCAAGTAGACTGAGCATCTCTCTCTCTCTCTCTCTCTCTCTCTCTCTCTCTCAGTGTATATGTGATATAGCCAGCCACCTCATTGATGCTTCTGTTGCCATTCCCTTCCTACTATCATGGCTTATATGCTTTTACAAGCTATGAACCAAAATGAAACCTTCCTTATACTGTTTTCAGTATTTCGACACAGGAAAATAACTAAGGCTTGTGAATCTAACCAGAGGGGGAAAGGCATGTCTTATGAGGGTTACTATTGCAGTAATAAGCACCATGACCAAAAGCAACCTGGGGAGGAAAGAATATAGCCCACCTTAAACCTCCCAGGCCAGAGTCCATCACTGAAGGAAGTCAGAGCAGAACTTAAGGCTGGAACTGAAACAGAGACCATGGAATAATGCTACTTACTGGCTTGCTCCCCATGGCTTGCTCACCCTGCTTTCTTATATCATCCAGGACCACCAGCTCAGAGTGGCAGCGCCCACAGTTGGCTGAGTCTTCCCACATCAACTATTAATTAGGAAAATGCCCACAGGCTTGCCTATGAGCTGATCTGTTGGAGGAAGTTTCCCTGAGGTTCCCTCTTTTCAGATGACCCTATCTTGTGTCAAGTTGACAAACAAACAACAACAAAATCTCATGGGCACAAAGAGTGAACCACTCCTATCCAGAATCTCCAACAAGTCCAGCGGCCTGGTCCGGCACTGCTGAGATTAACAGTACACAGCCTATCAACTCAAAACAGATGAGAGAAAACTGGGAATGAGAGCATGAGCCGTGGTTTTCCCTCAAGTCATATAAGTTCACTCCAGACAAGGCACTGACAACGTGTCAAAGAAATTACTCTACCCAAGTTCAACTTGAAGAATCAACGTGTTTACGAGGAGTTGCTTGTGTGCGCGTGGGTGAGAGCTTTCTTCCAGGAGCATGTGTGGACTCAAGGAAGGTTGTGCCACAAGAAGCCCACCTCAGCATGGGTGATGCTTCATGAAAACTGCATCCCTGAAGCTTTATGACCAATTTTCAGGCTACCCCATGGAAAGCCTCCTCCTTTCCAGCAACTCTTCACTGCTTATTCAGCCTGGAGGGGTGGGAAGGCAGGTCCTTATAAACCATGTAGATTTACAAGCCTGATGAGGTCTGTAAAATTCTAGCATCTTGAGCCTGATGGCCAACTGACCGGCAGAGTGAATGGAATTTTATGTAAGAAGTGGGAAATAGTAAGAGCTAGAGAGGACAGGAACTCCACAAGGAGAGCAACAGAACAAGAAAATTTGAACACAGGGAACTTCCCAGAGACTCATACTCCAACCAAGGACTATCCGTGGAGATAACCTAGAACCCTGACAATGCAGCCACTTTTGATGACAACTGATAGACTAAGATCAGAAAGGAGAGGAGGACCTCCCCTATCAGTGGACTTGGGGAGGGGCATGCATGCAGAAAGGGGGGGAGGGTGGACCAGGAGGGGAGGAGGGAGGGGCTTATGGGGGGATACAAAATGAATAAAGTGTAATTAATAAAAGTTAAAAAAAATGGAAAAAGAAAAAAAATTCTAGCATCTCCAGGGCACATGTTTCAATCCTGAGGAAGTGATCATGTGACAGCCCAAAACAAATTAGTTCTGCAAGTTTATCCCCCCAAAAAAAGGCAAAATTCTGACCCAATGTCTATTAGCCCAGCTACAGGAATGCTCTGATAGGATACACAGTACTGTGTTTCCAAAGTGGGGGGGGGGTAGCAAACTGTGTCTTCAGACAGTCTGGAATACTGAAAACTCATGGCTTTTTAAGTCCTGAATGGATCATGTAAAAGTCCAGTAGCAAAGACTGGCCAGGTGGTTTGCCGAGGTCAGGGGCCAAAATCCTGTACCTGTGATGCACATGAAAACCAACTCCCACAAATTGTCCTCCAATTTCAAGACAGATGCCAGGGCACATGCCCCATTCTCCTCCCCCCTCCCAATAAACCAATACATATAATAAAAATGTTTAATAAGAAAGTAAAATTAAGTACACTGAAGCAGCATGAAAACAAAACCTGAATCATTCTTATCTCTGAGCATCGACTGGTATTACATGCCAGTCCCGTAGTGCAGCCTCACGATGGCTGTTGGTGTCTGCAGCAAAACCCTCGTGAGCGGCTGCTGAAATGACTCAGTAGGTAAAGGCATTTGCTGTTATGTCTAATGGGCTTATTCTGTTCCCCAGAAACCACACGGTAAGAAAGAACCAATGTGAGTCCTACAAGTTGTCATCTGACCTCTGCAAGTGCACCGCGACACACACACTCACACACACACACACACACACACACACACACACACACACACACACACAAATGTAAGGCTTAGGAGGTGGCTCAGCGGTCCTGACTCAGCAGTGCAGAGTTCCTGCTGTTCTTTCAGAGGACCAGAGTTCAGTTCCCAGCACTGTAGCAGGAAGCCCACACTATCTGCAACTCCAGATCCACAGAACCTTCTGGCCTCTGTGGGAACCAGCATGCATGTGTGTGACTCACACACATATACATACATACATAAATACACAATAAAATAAAAATTTTAAGTTTAATTAAAGGTAAAAAAATGTATTTTATTTATTTATTTATTTATTTATTTATTTATTTATTTATTTATTT